AGACAGGTGTGTGGCTTTCCTAATCAAGTCCAATCAGTATAATCAAACACAGCTGGACTCAAATGAAGGTGTAGAACCATCTCAAGGATGATCAGAAGAAATGGACAGCACCTGAGTTAAATATATGAGTGTCACAGCAAAGGGTCTGAATACTTAGGACCATGTGATATTTCAGTTTTTCTTTTTTAATAAATCTGCAAAAATGTCAACAATTCTGTGTTTTTCTGTCAATATGGGGTGCTGTGTGTACATTAATGAGTAAAAAATTTACTTAAATGATTTTAGCAAATGGCTGCAATATAACAAAGAGTGAAAAATTTAAGGGGGTCTGAATACTTTCCGTACCCACTGTGCGTAGTAAGGTTTCACAAAATAAAACAGAGCAAATAAAGTGTAATGATATTAATAAACACAGTATTCTTCCACCAAACAATGTAGCTCCTCAGAAACAGTTGTGGTTGCTACAAAGTGGTCGCCGAGCAACACACAAACGTAAACAAAGGTGTGTGTTACTTTGTAGCGTCATTTACAACAGCTTCGAACCAAGAATCAATCAGAATCAAGCACCGGAACTCTCTGCTTTATAAACATCAATCAATCGAGAGATACTCACTGCTGATGTCTCAGGTGGTGTCGTCTGGGCCTGAATGTCAGGGGGAAAGTTAGAGGAGTAAATATAAAGCAAGCTGAAAGTGCAGCACCACGACAGGTGTGTGTCAGCCGTACCTGCACTCACAGCTCTGGTGCTCCTGAAAGGACAGAAGCACGTATTCTCTGCTCCTCTCGGCCGGAGTTATTCTCAACAGCTGATGGAAAACACAGAGCATCAAAGCATAAAGGAATAGCTCATCCCCAAATAAACTGAATAAATAAATAGCTATAAAAACATTTTTAATAAAAAAAAAGTTCTATAAAAGATAGAATTTTAGGGAAGATTCTCACGCAGCTTTTTTCCATTTCACAACAGTTCAGTGACCAAATATGTAAAGCTCCAAAATGATCAATACACCATAAAATATCAGTCTATATTACTATGTTTTTAATAATATTTGGATTTTTTAAATTGTGTTTTTTCGTTTGAATTTCACACTCACACAAAATAACACACACACACACACTCACACACACTGTTTGTTGTTGATGTTTCAGTCATGTTCACTATGAACTGCTGTTATATGGAAAACAGCCACATGAAGATTCTTCAGGAATGTCCCACATTAATAATCACAGCCAGCGTGATGAGGGAGTCAGTAAGTGACTGTGTATGAACCGAGCTCATGCCTGGATGCTGATGTTGCGTGTGCTGATGGGGAAACACGCCAGTTTGTCGTCATTGCAGCATCCGGAGCAGCGCAGCAGCGGCACGCAGCCGGGACTGTAGATGTGCTCCACTCCTCCGGGATACTCCTGCTCCACCTCCACCATCCGCTCCAGAGGACGACACTGACTGCGACCCCACGCCTCGGGGAACAGCATCACTGAACACACACACACACTGCTTTTACTCACTGTCTTCTACTTATCATTAAAAATGAATCTATGGAGCAGCGGTCGGGAACCCACTGATGACAGAAATCATGAGGCTCATCAGGTCTCTCGCGGTTTACCAAGAAATGATTGATAAAATAACAGACACATCAGCAGAGTTCAGCTTTCTGCAGAAAAATTAACTCCTTTGCTGCACAGCCTACAGAAGTTAATGAAAAGTTTAGAATAATACAGTTTTTCTCGATTGCTAACACACAGTTCATGAAACAATTCACCATTTTCTCACAACTATAAACACAATCTCAAAACTACACACAAACTTGTGCAAACTTCCAGCTCAAAATCAAATAGTTTAGTCAAAAACATGTTCTCTTTTGTCAGAATCAAACTTAGGCCTCAGATGACACACAAACCTGTCAAATACACACTACTTCACTGTCTAGAGAACACTAGTGAGATCAACTCAGAACACTGTTACTAAAACCTGCTTTTGGGAAACAGGAATCCTTTTGCTACTCAGTGTCTGTTACAGTCTTAAACTGTAAGAAAAGTTTACTTTCATTACACTACTGTGAAGAGATCTTACAGAAGATGAAAAGCACTAGAAGAGAAAAGTTCAAAAATTAAACAACGGAATATACAGTAAACACACATTGGAATATACTGTCAATTACTGTAAATAAAATAATGTATTCATTCATTCTTTCAGCATCCTCTGCCAATTTGCATGACAGTATTGGTATTATCCTTATTTGTTACAGCAGTTTCTTAGTCTTCTGACAAAAGACTTCTCTCAGTTCTGCACAAATACAGTACACACTTGGCTACAAATCAGTTCAACAGTAATGAGTTTGAGGCTGTATAACATGTGCTACAGTATTTACTGTACACAGAATAATGAAAGCTCTCTCTTCTGAAGTACTGCTGCTATGTACTGTAATTATACTGCATGTGTCAGTAGTATTGAAACCCTGTAGATGAGCTGTAGGCTAACTCCCCTCACGGTCAGTGCATGCAGAAGAACATGCTCAACTACAGTGCTGTGTATTTCATCAGGAGCTAATGACCTTTGACCTCATCCCCTTCATTTTTATTTTCTCCTCCTCTTCCTCATGGTCTCCCACTACCAGGATTCATTTTCTAAAACTCATAATCAGCTGTGCTCTTGTTCATATCATCCTGAGATTCTGAGCTGTGTGTCATCAGTTTTGCTGCTGAATGTTCACACATGGATAAATGTGTGCTGTTTGAGTTCATTTTTTGATGCTTGAGTTAATTATATTGTGTGTTTGTGTTTTCTGAATGAGAACATGGTTAAACCTGTGCAAAATGGCGTTTTGTGTAGAGTTTTGCAGAAAACACTGAGCAAATTGGAACGTTTGTGCAAACAGGTGAAATGTGTTAAAAGTTTTGAGAAATGTGGCTTTGTTTCGAGAAATGTATGAATGGTTTGGAAAATTGGGCCAAATGAATCAGTTATAGTGTGTTAGCAATCGAGAAAAACCGTAATAACCCCAAACCAGCAAATAAAAATATACCGTAACCCATGGAAACAGTCACAGTGTTCTCTTTTGCAAGAAGTGCAGTCATTCAGCTTGCGTTCGGTCATTAAAGGGGTCATATGATGTTGCTAAAAAGAACATTATTTTGTGTATTTGGTGTAATAAAATGTGTTTATGCGGTTTAAGGTTCAAAAACACATTATTTTCCACATACTGTACATTATTGTT